TTATCGAAGTAATTGGTTTCCACCTAAGACACTGTGCCCATTATTCTAAATTAATGGATTCATTTAGGCGCAGTTAACCTCCCATGGTGAGTGCACTTCCTCAAGAGATCAGCTCCAAGTTTATGCCTCATATTATTTACATTTCTCTCCTATAAAATGATACAACAGACGGGAAATATATATTTCACAACAACAACATAGTCATAAGTACCACGCTTTTTCAAAGGCTGGATTTAGTTTATTTGAGCCTTTATTGCCAGACGTTGAGACAATGGGCTTGAATGAAATCTACAATCGGGTTCACACCTTGTTAACACCGCCATTAGTCTCCCTTTACATTCGCTGATTGGTGATTTACATTTGCGACCAAATAGCATCTTTACTGCTGTTTACCAAGGCTTTGAGGACCACTGAAGAGTGAACGGGAGAATTTGATATAAAAAGTCGAGCTTCTAGGACCCTGCAGTCACTCCAACTCCAAGTTGCTGGCCGGTTGTGTGGCTGTAGGACACCGATGCGCCAGGAATCTACCCAAACTTCAGAGATGTTGCTGTTTGTGATCAGCTTTGCCACTCTAGTGTGCACCGCCGCTGCACGGCCTTCACTCAACTACCTGGAGAATCATTTCACCGCCGACAACGAGTCAGAAGAAGTCCGCTCAGCTGCCATCAAGAGACTTTTGGAAGTTTTTGGGATGGAGGACCCCCCTGCCATCCACGGACACAAGCAAGCACCTCAGTACATGCTTGATCTGTACAACACGGTTGCTGATGTGGACGGTGTGACCAAGGACCCGTATCTTCTGGAGGGGAATACTGTGCGCAGCTTCTTTGACAAATGTAAGATCAGATTTGTGTGTGCACACGTTTGCTTCTGGGTTCTGTAGTCAACGAAATATAGGTTTGTTCTGGGCTCTAATTATATATTTTCTATTGCAGTGCGCAGTGAACAGGTGGAGTACAGGTTCAATTTGTCCATGGTGGCCAGAACTGAGAAGATTCTCACTGCAGAGCTCCATCTTTTCAAGCTGCGACCTCAGGCAACAATGACATTCCACAGACATCATTTCTGCCAGGTATGTAAGCATCAGATACATTCAACTGAGCAATTTAATGAAATACAGTGAATCCACTCAAATGCAACGTCTCCCTTGGACATTACTGTAATCCACCATCTCTTCTGTTTCATTTAGGTTAGTGTCTATCAGCTGCTTGACACCAGTAGAAACAACAACACACAAGAGAGGAAGCTGCTGTCTTCTCGACTCATCCCAGTCCACTCTACTGGTTGGGAGGTGTTCACCATTACACAAGCAGTAAGTATCAACTTCTCTTTAAGAAGCTCAACTTCTGTAGGTGAATGCTGGACATAACTGCCTGGATTCTGTGTTTTAAGTGACTAACGTGAACTTCTCCATGTAGGTCCGCTCCTGGATGATAGATGAAAGCAGTAACCTGGGGCTCCATGTGGTGGTTCGGACCCTGGGGGGAAGCCAGATGGATATGAAAATGATCCGCTTTGCTTCAGGACGCAACCACCACCAGAGCAAACAGCCCATGTTGGTCCTCTTTACTGACGATGGTCGCCGCTCTACCAATGTTGAAAACACAGGTGAGACTTGCTTCAGCTTTAATGTTGTTTGAGTGATCAGGTTTTGTCCGTTGATAGTAACAAATACACAGGTCATGTATTTTTGTGGTCTTACTGCTGATGAGCAGGAGTGAAACCCTGGGCCTCCCAACCACACATTCTTATCACTGCTATACTTAACGAAAACATTATTTTACCAATCAGTTATCAGACAAGGAAAAATCTCACGTCCAGTGCTAATTGGCTTCCAAAAACATTCTTTCATCAGTCTTCTGTTAAAAAATCTACCTGGTGAGGGAGTTAATGTGTTCTTGCCAAGCTGTAACCGTTGTTGTTCCAGTTGTCTAATTCTTTAATGTTTTTGTTGTTTCAGTTTAGAAGTTTTTAATCAAACCTTTTTTTCAGAATAAGAGTAACAGAAAAAAATAGAGACCTGCTGTACTGTTTCTTAGCTCAATTTTGCATTTTGACTCACAGAACATACTCTAAAATACTGTGTTTCCTAACAAAGTACTTTGCCTTCCTTTACCAGACCTAAATGACACCGGTGCCACTTCCAGCCTGCCCCAGGCCCCCATGTCAGATACACCCTCCCGCAGCGCCCGATCTCTGGACTACAGCGAGGAGGAAGGTGTGTCTTCACCCTGCCAACGCCAGCCTCTCTACGTCGACTTCGAGGAGATCGGCTGGTCGGGCTGGATCGTGTCTCCCCGGGGCTACAATGCTTACCACTGTAAAGGCTCCTGCCCTTTCCCTCTGGGTCAGAACATGAGGCCGACCAACCACGCCACCGTCCAGTCAATCATCAACGCCCTAAAGCTGATTAAAGGCATTGAAAAACCGTGCTGCGTGCCTGACAAGCTCTTCTCCATCAACTTACTCTACTTCGATGATGATGAGAATGTGGTGCTGAAACAGTATAATGACATGGTGGCTGGAAGCTGTGGCTGCCACTGACATCCACTAGTCGCTGGTGATGGGCTGCACGGATATTCATAAAAAATATAATGCAAATGAGAGTTTTGGTACACAGATAGCCAGCAGCCAAAATCAAATGAAACAAATGAATAATTTGCAGTCCCATGTGTGACTTTGTAATATATGTAAATATTCAAAAAAAATTATAATATATGGCAGTGATGGAAGTGATATCCTGTGAAAGATTTGAATGTGTATATTTTATGTTTTCTGTTGTGAATTATTACACAGAATAAATGGTGTAAAGAAAACATTATAGTGTGAATTTATTTGCAAAACAAATTTCACTCAAAAATGTGACATTATTTCAAGAAGATCTACATTAAAGTGTTGTTGTTTGAGTTATTAGTGTTATTGGGTGAGGGAATGAGGCCAAACGCAATGCAGAAGACCCAGTACCATTACAAGTCATGATAATAACTATTCATATTAAATTGAAATAATTGGTCACAATTATTAGTCTTACTAAACTCGCATGTTTAAGTCAGACTGACGACACCAAGACTTTTGCTTCTGGAATAAACAGTTTATACAAAAGAAAACTATATTGTTAGCAAGCACCATAATTTAGTGGGTGGTGATGTGTTGCTGCGTGATGACAGGATGCCATGAGGGTAATTGCGTAATAGCAGAGAGCCTGGGGCCCTATTTTCCCACAAGCCTTCCTGTCCGCATATGACATGCCTGAAATGTTGCAACATATGAATGTAACTTCGGTTCAGGTTGATCACTGGCATATTTCGAAGATAGTATCTTAAAAAAACAACAACTGCTGCACCATGCCAATTCAAGGAAACATTTTTACTCTTGCATACTGTACTTGAGCATACATTAACATACTGTACAGTGATTTCATTATTTAAAAAAGTAAAATAAGACAGTTCAATACAATCTAATGCCACTGTCTGGCAATGCTTAAAATCTCAATTTAAAGAATTATTTTTTTTTAGGCTTTTGTTGGTGGTATTGTTGCTGTTTTGGACTGAGGATGTTTCTATATTCTGTCCTCATCAACAAATGGGGTCTAAAAAGGAAGAAAGGTAGTAATATTAGTGCAGTCGTAACTGTTGACGGCTCTTTGAGGGCCCAGAAGTATCCCCATCTGTCATGGGCCCTTGTAACCTTCTGGGCCTGTATATGCACAGGCTGCACCGTTGGTACTTACACCACTGAGTGAAATATTACTGCTATTTCCAAGTGTGTATTTTAGTGCTTCCTGTTGGTCAAATTTGTATGGAAATACAAATTCTTCAAACCAATTTCTGTAGACTTGCCATCTTGTGTTTTTGAACAGTGTGTATCATTGTGTCTTCTTTGTTATGAATGTTAATACATTCGATAGCTGTCATAAACAGGCATATTTTGTAATGTAATGTTAAGATGTTGAATTTTCTGCAGTTGTGGTTGCAGAGTATGAAAGAGATGTCACCCAGTTCTAATGGTCTGTCCAAGCTGAGAACAGCGGACATTAAAATGTCATGTTTGGATTCTTCACCCCAGAATAAATGTAATATTAAAGGTTTTCTCAGGAGAAAAGCTTTTGTTCTGCTCACTGTGGCTGCTATTGTCAGAAGCAAGTCTCTTTACGAAATATTGTCAGTCAATGTCTAACTCTATTCTCTAAATAAAGTATCACAGTAACTCTTTTAATCTCAGTGTGAAACAGATAAAGAAATCTCTTAACATGAGTTCTAACTTTTTTATAAAAGAACTGAATTTTGTAGACTTACAAAATCCAACAGACACCCTGGTTTCATTTTGAAGTATTTTTAGAGGCCGGATGAAGTGAAAGTATCCAGTGTTTCTAACTGCATCACAAGACAAGAACATCAGTATTGGACGATTTGGCAAAACCCTGAAATTACATCTAATGCCAACATTTTCAAAACTCTTGCAATATCTGTGCATAGCAACTACAGTATATATGTGGGATTTCACATAAAGCCTTTCTTTGTATCACTTAAACCACTCATTGGTATATATACATCTTCCTTATTGCTCATGCCAAGTACAATAGAGTGATATGAAGGTGGAATAGTTGCATGAGTCATGGAGTACTGATGTACATCAGTTAATCTAAACTGGCAGGATTGAAGGTGAAGTTTGATTTCAATGCCTGAAGTCATGTTTTCCACTCATAAATCATCTTCAAAATGAAAACATTTTAAAGGTGAAAATGTGCTCAATAATAATAATGATATCCAATAATCGTGTTCTCAACAATACTTGTCTCGCATCAAAAGGTCTATTTGCCCACTACAAAACCCTGTCTCTAAAGAGTGTAACCTGAGCAGTGACTGAGGCGTTGGCCATAGAGTGGCACTAAAGGGGGTTGATACCACTTGGCATGATGCTGGACGACAGCCCTTATTCATTGTCAAAGGGGCTGCTATTCACAATGGAGAAAACGATGAAATGCTGCCATTATAATGGGGACCAAAGGGCCCTGTGGCAGCCCGACACCCGATCTCCTCATTGGCTCTGGCTTCCTTTTGTCCCAGTATTTCATATCTGACATATCCACACACCCTAAAAAAGCACTTGATGTTGGAGCAGCAATGGACCTGAGGCTTGCTGTCTGCGTGCTCAGACATGGGGAATAAACAGACCATCTTTACAGCACAGCAGCTAGATGCTTATCAGGTTGGTGTCAATCCTGTTCTTTTCTGAATGAACAATTATCCTCACGCACGCTAATGGTGCCTCTCTTATCAATACTAGCTACCGGCATCTATAAACAAGATTAACTCACTTGTCAGACTTTGTTGATTTAATATTTTGTTGTTCAGAAAAGTCTTTGGACATGTTACAGTCAACACTGCAGAGGCAATCTGTGTCCCAATGTTAGTGACATGATGTAGAGTTAATGCCGTGTTGTGAAAAACATCTGTTTTCATGTAAATCCATTGGTGGAAGCTAACATTCAGCTAAGAACATTTACTTTACTTAGTTACTTTACTGTAGTACAGAACTTTTAAATGCATGACTTTTAATTGCATATGACTGTTTATAGTGTGGTACTGCTAGTATACCTTTAGTAAATATCTGAATATGTTGTCCACCACAAGTAATTTAGCACCAGCTTGTATATGAACAGCTGCATCGTAATGCTGTAACTTCACTTTCCTGTCATGGTCTGATTGTATTTGCAGGACTGTACATATTTTACAAGAAAAGAAATTCTCAGGTGAGCAGATTATTTGCACTAAATCTTAATATATCTGAGCCCTTGCTGGTGTAGGACAGCTGACACAGCTGAATTTTTGTTTTGTTCTGCACAATACTACACTGTAACTCTAAACTACAGTATCAGGAGACCTGTCCTACTGTGGGGCAGTTGTTTTCAGAACTTTACTGTACTGAAACTCATTTTTCAGAGTTTTCAATGTTGACCACAATAGAGAAAAACTTTACTACTACTCTGAGTGGTAGTTTCCTAATTTTCTAATTTAACAACCAAATGCCCCTCTAAAATACATAACTACATAATGTAGAACACAGCCTGTAATTTAATATTGAGAGTAAATGTTTTAAACCTTTCCTAGACTGTTCGACCGCTATCGGGATTTGGCACCGCAGCTCGTTCCTCTTGACTACACCAACCACCCAGATGTGAAGTTACCATATGAGCTGATTGGCAGCATGCCAGAACTGAAGGTAGGTCCCACTGGTCCACACACACCATGCAGACCCGCTCTCTCCCAGTGCTCCCAATCCATAATTAATGGCCAACTAATCGACAGAATTATTTGAAAGGTTATATGTTACCCGACTCCTTTAAACTTGAAGAATGCTGGTGAGTCCCTCAGGGCACACTTGTTGGAAATGGGTCAATTATATGGCTCTTTACACAAAGACAGCAAGGTAAACAGGTGTGTGAACACTCTGGTCACTGACATGTCCTGAAAGGGAGAGTAAGACTGTGAGGATTGTACTTTACCACATAGTTATTCATCGTCATGAATTGTGACAATTAATTAGAATTCCCATTAGAAACACAAAAAGCAGACAAGAACATGAGATATAAACAAAAACACACAATCATGGAGCACAGGAAGGCCCTAAAATCCAATCCAAAAACAAGCACCAGTTCATAGTTCTCTATGATTAGCTGCACTGAGAAGTTTTAATCAGACTTATATTTATATGTATTGGTGTCCTCTCTGTCCAGGACAACCCATTTCGCCAGAGGATCGCTGAGGTTTTTTCTGAGGACGGAGAGGGAAACATGACATTGGATGACTTCTTGGACATGTTTTCAGTCCTGAGCGAGATGGCTCCACGTGACCTCAAAGCCTCCTACGCTTTCAAAATCTATGGTAAAATATTAAAAGAAGTGATACAGTTGAAAAAAAATGTCAGGGAGTTTCCTTTTTTGTGTTTTGTTGAGATTGTCTTTATTTCCTTGGCACCCCAAGCAATAAGCTTGGGGTGCCACAGACCCTCTTTTGTATATGTAATAAATGGTAATAATCATTTAAATTAATCACATTTTTCCTTTAAATACCATTGAAATTATTAAAACCAAATATGTAATAATTGAAGTGGTAGCCACAAACTGAGCTTGAACATTTAATGAAGATGACAAACAACAGATGTGAGCATAAAGCACTGATATTACACCAAACAAGGAAGTATTTCACATACATGGATGCACTTTGCATGAGCAAGAATGTGTTTCTTCCGTTTGTTAGACCTCTTTCAGTTGGCCTGGGGTCTAAAATAGGGTTACCATGTAACTACAGAGTGTAAACATGCACTTTTATTCAGCAAAATCATTAAAATCCTAACAATGAATTAATATCTTCCCAAGTTTTAATACCAGTAGTATATGAAAAGGGAGCATTGTGTCAGGCTTTGGAGCTGTAAGCATGACGGATGGTGCATGGGATTTTATAAATGATTAACCAGCCCATTATAGAGGCAAAGAGCTTGTCAAAGCCCAGTTTGTGCTCAGCAACAGGGTCCCCCCTAATTAACAAACGCTGACAGATGAAGAAGTTAGGTACACATCGCCATGGTCATGGGTCAAGGAAACTTCTCATTAATTATTCAGACCAATAGAGGAGAAAAACAAGGAAGGTGGCATAATGTAAAAGCATGGTTGTGTTATGATGAGCAAGATTGATGAGGCTCAGACAGCTGTAGTGGACGCTTTAATGAAGGACTGGGTGTGTTGGGTGAATGTTTAAGCCTTAAAAATCACAATTTCCTGAAAGCCCAAGTTTTATATCATAGAATTAAAAGAAAACCAGCAAACACTCAAACATTTGAGATGCAGAAAACAATGAATTTGATGTATTTTTTTGCTTGAAAATGAAAGATTGCTATTTGCTAATAAAAACAGTTGCATGACTAATCAAACAACCAACCAATCATTTCACCTCTAGATATCTCCTTCTCTTCCATTTTCTGCAAGACTTCAACAACGATGATTTCATCTGCAAGTCGGACCTGGAGAAGACGCTGAACAGACTGACCCGTAATGAGCTGACAGAAGACGAGGTGAGGATGGTGTGTGAGAAGGTGATCGATGAGGCTGACCTGGACAACGATGGACGTCTGTCACTGGAGGACTTCCAGCACATGATTGTTCGAGCTCCAGACTTCCTCAGGTAGGCCAATAAGAACCATTTAGCGTAAGATATAATGAAGAGTAAACCCACCTACCTCATTTATCAAGGATTGTAATTTTATGGCCACTTATCTCCTATCTTTACCTACAAAGTGGAACTATTTTAATTTCTGTTCACAGCACCTTCCACATAAGAATATAAAGAAATGAAGCAATCGTGCATTCCTTCATTGGAAATAGCACATAAGGATGGGCTTGTGATACTGCAGGGTATCTGGAAAGTGGACGAATCCTGACATCTCAACCAAAAAACACAACTCATATGGTCAATGTCTAGTGTCTTGCTTTTTGTGTTTTATTTTGTAAAAAGAAAATCTGTAACCAAAAACATTCTGATCATCAAACATTTAGCATCCCGAGTAAATACTTTACTTTATTACTCATCTTTCATGGTAACATTATTGTAAACAGGTTGGATTTGTGTGACTTGTACCAACACTGTTTTTACTTTTATTACTGCAAATGTAGAAATGGCACCAGTCCTGGTGTGACTGTAGGTCTATCAGCAGGTGGTGGCATCAACCAATCCATCAAGCCAAGGCTCATTAGTTATGACCATCAACAGTAGATTTGTGTTTTGTATCTAAAGGGGTTCAGTTACACCAGACTACAAAAGAAACACATGCCAGAATATTCCAGTGGGTCATAGCGGGCCAGTAAAAGGAGAGCCATTTGTCATGAAAGCTCATTGTGGGAGCACAGGGGTGAACTGACGGTGTAGTTTCCTCTGACAGCCAATAAAAAGACAGTGAATGTGAAGTTTTATAATCTCATTTTATTAAATCAAAAGTACACATATCTACAAATTGTAGATACATTTTCATATGGGTTTAGAAAGTACAGTACAATTTAAGTAGATCTCTTTTTTTTTTCAATGTGATATTTACAATGGTATTTTTTTTTCCCACTATTTTTTCTTTCAAAATGTATTATTCTCCCTGTGTACTTCACAAATCGATGGAATGAAAATATGGCTGTAAAAAGGGATGTACAGTATATTATAACATGATAGGAATCTTAAGAAAAGGATATGATTTAAAAACAAAATCAAAAAAAGAGCGGGTATCATTTGAGCTGGAAATGATACAGAGCTTGATTCCCACAAACATCTGCTTCCTATGTTTCTGTTTATGACTTAAAGCTACAGTATGACTCGAATGAGACAAAACAGCACTACCTCCAACATCCAGACTCTTCCTGCTTAATCTCGCCATCATTACAGGTTTCACTCGCGCTGATGTAGCAATGCTATTTCTACAAACAAGAGCATGTGCGTGAGCATGAGTTTTTGGCTCAGTGAATAACACAAAACAAAAACAAAAACAAAGCCCATACATTCAACTGTACAGGTCTACAAGTATGTCTGAAAATTACATTACACAAATATGCACAGGTCCAAGATTCACAATGCATAGCTCACCTATGACAGAACTGAGTATCAGCGGTTAAGACAAATGGCTATGGTAGTTATGAGGTCCCAAATTATTTGATATTAAAAAATAAAAATAAAAAACAAAGCAAAAAAAAGGTGCAGGCAAGCAAAAGCAGATCCTCCCTTTGATATTGTGCATATAGGAGTCTGATTTTCAGACTAGTAACAAATGCAGTAGGGAAACACGAGGAACAATGGAAATAGATTGAGACTCAACATCAATGTTAAACAGTGGGTACAAGTTTAGATTGCACACATCTAGTTCACTGTGGCTTGCATTCTTAATTAAATACTGATTAAAATTTGAGTTCAGGTGGTCACATATAATGCAGAATGTGCCTCTGGCGCCACCTAGCTGTCAAACTAAAGGGCCACAATCAAACACAAACATGATACAATATACAATAATACTAATAGGACCACCTTTCAGCTTACGTCAAGCCAGTGTTCATGTGAAAAGCCAAGAAAGAAAATCACTTCTGAACTACAATTTGGCAGGGCGGTAGTATAGACACAGAGGCTTGCAAATTCTTTTTCCTTTTTATAAATATATATATAGCCATTAAAGTACATTAGGGCAATGTTTTTCAGTGAACTGATACCAGGACAGTGGATCACTAGCAGTGAAATAGCAAAGGAGATCAAGTCATTTATAAGTAGGTGTAGTAAAATTTAAGACGTATGCCCATTATACTACCAAGACTCAATAGATCAAAACAATTATAAGTAAGTAATTGTATTGCAAAACTATCACTTGGCACAGACTACACACAAAACACGAGTTACTGGTAAAGTGCAAGGAGAGCTGCATGGATAGCAGGAGAGGGGGCTTACAGTGCGAAACTTCATTTTGACTTCATTTTTAATTGCTGATCGAATAACCGGAGACGTCATTTAGCTTGACTGTGAATCAGAGCTGCTACAAAACCTTCACATCAAAATAAAAAGGCAACACTTTGAATTAATTTTAAAGCAGAAATATCTTCTTTTTCTTATTTGATAGTTAATTGATGTTTTCAGGTTTTGGACGAAACAAGATATTTGAAGAGGCCACTTTAGGCTTTAGGAAACAGGCATTTCCCCCTATTTTCAGATGTTTAATAGACCAAACATTGAATCAAGAAAAAAGTGGCATAATAATTCATTATAATACATAATTGCAGCCCCAATTTTATTGGCCTGTACTTTTAACACTTACAAATGGGTAATAGTGCAGCGATAGCACATTTTTACTTTCGCACCACAATGTCCTCTCTTGCAGGTTACGACAGGAAACACCACACCAGTATCTTGCTGATAATTTGATGACAGAACTAACCCTCGGAGGAACAAATTCTGTTTGTTGTATGCATTTTTAAGTTTTGTGTTGCCATGCCTTCAAGCACCTGAAAGCTACTGCAGAAAATGTTAAAAAGACAAAGAAAAAAAGCGTTGGAGGCAGTGAGTACTGATCGGTGCAAGATGAAACACACATTTCTAGTCACATCAAATGATTGTCAAGGACTACATGCAAATGAAAGAGCAGAACTCACATCCAGTTCCTCTCTGATCCTTGACTGCCTTATCTGTGATATGACTCACTCAACTGCTGAAATGAAAATGAAAGCATGTGCAACTCTGTTTCACCCAAGTTCAAGCCTTTCAGTCTCTAGTTGACATTTATAACTTCAATGGGGAAAGAGCACTAATAAAAATAGATAGATATCACGTCTGTATTTGCAATCCCAAAACGTTGACATTAACTTAATGATTTCTCATCCTCGGTTGTGCTACCGGCTGTGTGAAATTTAAGTGCGCAGTACAAACAGACTAAACATCAGAAGTAAGAGCCTGTCTTTTGTGTGATAAGGAACATCTAGACAACGCTCCTGGTTGAGTCCTCGACCAGCCAAGCACTCTGACCCATGAAAACAACAGATCTCTTTAAAATGGAAGAGATGCACCATTGGAAGCTTTCCGAAGAGGAAGAGAGGAAGGGAAGTCTTCGGCTTACTGGGAATATAATGGTTTGTGTGGACTTGGGGGGGGGTGGGTATAAAGAAGGAAGAGGAAGGAAGTGCTAAGAGCAAGCACAGTCCATTTTTGTCCAGCCAGCTGGCAGCCAGTGTCGAAGGCCTCGGTCCTCAGAGTAGGCTACAGCGGAAGAAGCTGGTCTTTTTCTGAGGCTCTGAGATCTTGACTCCATGACTGCTTCCCTGTGGTGTGTTGCCCTCCTGCAAACATGACAAATAATGTCATGTAGAACTGTTCAGACCTGTTGCCTCAGTGGCTGCTTTTATGTTATTCACTATGCACTTAACTCCTCATCTACTTTCCCTCAACCAGTGACACTGCTGTTGATTGTGAGAAGTTTGAAACTTAAATAACATGTTTTAAATGATGAAATATTTCAGAGCTGCTGAAAGGTCATTCAATTTCTCAAAATGTGAAATGCTAGGTTGTATTATAAAAAGAGTTCTTCTTACCAATTTTGTGTCCATTTTTGATTTGATGTCTCTGGCGAGTGTCAAAAATGCCTGTGAACCAGAACAAATGTACATGTTTGTGTCACAGTGATGACATATTATCTGTTAAATATATTGTAATGAGGAGGGTAAGTAGCTGCTTACGTTTTCCACATTGATGTTGGCCTTTGCACTCGTCTCCATGAACTTTATCCCATACTCTAATGCAAGCTGAAAGAAAACGTGAGAAAATTACATTAAATTTACATTTTACCAAGTCTGTTAACACATTTTACTTTAAATACTGGTGTAATTGATTATCAAATATAACCCAATGCCAACATCATTTTAACATCAACCAAGATTCTCACCTTCTCCCCCCTGTCTTTGGACACCTGCCGCTTGTCATTGATGTCACACTTGTTGCCAAGGACCATCTTCTCAACATCAGCTGATGCATGCTGGATCAAGAGAAGACAAATTTAATAATAACAATGCACCACATACTTGAAGAGATAGCCAGTGTGTAAAGGAGAGTCTATTTGGGCCAGTAACTACCTCCTCTATGTTCCTTATCCAGTTCTTGATATTTTCAAAAGACTTCTCGTTGGTGATGTCGTAGACAAGCATGATGCCCTGTAAAGAAAAGTAAATGTTAACAGCGTCAACAGAGCTTGAGCCAGAAAAGTGGTTTTATTTTACATTTGTCTGTGAAGGCACCCACCATTGCTCCTCTGTAGTAGGCTGTTGTGATTGTTCGGAAACGCTCCTGGCCAGCCGTATCCCTGCAAATAAAAAATAAAAATATAAAACACCACAATTGTAACCATGTCAAAATGTCATATATTAGAAAGTTTAAGAATTAATGTGAAGTGCTTTTAAGGTTAATGCTTCAATAGCTCATGAGGGAAAGCTTCCATAAAGTAGGACAGGTATGTAGGTAAGGAGGTTTGGGAGGTTTGGACATTGGTTTTGGACATTTTCTAACATATTAGTACAACAAGGAGGAATAAAGCTTTGGCCAATATAGAGAAAGACATTACACTTATTGTACTGAATAAGCTACACAACCTAAAAATATGCTACTTGAAGTTAAATAAACTAAAATACAATTAAAATATTTTTTTTACATTACATTTTAAAAACATAACGACTTGTAAGGCCTCATAGTACGACCCGTGTGCACACTAAGGAACCTTGCCTTAAACAAAGTGTGTGCCATACATACTTCATTAGCCATATATGGATCAAACACGGCCACAATGTCACATATCTCCTGCATTAAAAAAAGAAGGACTTAAGATCAACTCACCATATCTGTAACTTTATCTTCTTGCCGTCAAGCTCTATTGTCCTAATCTTGAAATCAATGCCTGGAGAGAGAAAGAAGGATAAAGAAATCAATCATAACGTTAGCTTGGTAGCTTAGTATACCTGTCAACCACTTGGCCGACACTGCTGTGACACACTCAATAAAAACAGAAACATGTAGACTGGGAATAAAAGGAGACAGTAACATGTGCATAAAAGCAAAACGGCGCTTTTATAAGGCTTAAATTAATACGATATACCGCGCTACATATGAGGCTTTCCGGTGTCTTACCAGGATGTACACGGGGCCTAGCGGCTAACGTTAGAGCTAATTGGCTAACAGCTAACGCCCGCTAGCAGGAGAGCCAACCGGCATGACTTTTAAAATACAACACAAAACATTTATAACCACACATTAGCCTCATACAAAACACACAGGCGACGGCGTCCGCCCCTTGTCACCCCTTCCGAACAAGTTAAACCTATTTCACGACCCGCGAAATAACAACATAATCTCTATTAACGACAAAGAGAAAACTACTTCCAGACGCGAGCGTTCCAGCAAGTAGACGGAGCCTCGCACACAAACCCATTGGCGTGTTGTAAACAGACAGAAAGACATATTTTAACACCCCCCTCCCCAACTCCCCCTCCCCTCCTAAAAAAAACCTACCTATAGTTGAGATAAACGTGGAGTTGAAGGCGTCTTCTGAAAACCTGAACAGGACACAGGTCTTCCCGACACCGGAGTCGCCGATTAACAGTAATTTAAACAAATAGTCGTATGTCTTCGCCATACTTGATATTATTGCGGAAATCCCGCCCGGCGGAGCAGCGATGAGTCTGCGCAGGAACGACGCCCCCTGCTGGCTCGGCATCCAGCAGCTGGTTATATGTGACTGAGAGACCAGTGGGCGTGTACTCACTTCACTAACTGTGCTCCACACAGCAGGTTTCCCCCCCGAAAGAGCCCCTTTTCTATCATTTTTAGTGAACTACAAAGTGATATATTTTATGGATGTTTCTTATTGTTTTAAATGTTGTATGATGGACTCAGTAACTGCAAGAAGTTTGTGTAAGATTTGTGAACTTTCTATACGATTATGTTTGTATTATATCATTTTTAGCAATAAGCTTTTTTTTTTTTTTTTTGACAAATTCTTCTTCTTGGTCATTGCTCTATTAGACAATTTACTTAATAGTATACTTTACATTTAGTTTTCTTTACAGAAGTGAACTAAATGCTGAGATATAGGCCTGGGCTACAGCAGTGGTTCACAACATTTTCCCCTTGAGGGACCCCTTTTCTATCATTTTAGTAAACTGGCGACCCCTGACAGTGACATATTTTATGGATATTTCTTATTACATTAAAAACTGTACAATGAAACCAAATAGTGAACTCAATAACTGCAAGAAGTTTGTGTAAAACGATGAATTTTTAGATTATTTCCTGTTTAGAGAACTTTCTATACAATTCTTTCTGTGTTTTCTTGGCCATTGTTCTATAAGACAATTTACTTTACAATAATATACTTTAATTTTAGTTCTCTTTACAGAAGTGAACCAAATGCTGAGATATATAGGCCTATTGTGTTTATTTTTTTACCCCCCTTGAAGCTCTAGCAACCTCTAACAGGTCTCCCGACCCCCAGGTTGGGAACCACTGGTCTACAGTAGTGGCTCCCAACCTTTTTCCTTAAGGGTACCCCTTTTGCAAACTGCAGGAAGTTCGTGTAAAATGAGCAATTTGGATGAATTCCAGATTATTTCCTGTGGATATTGTATCAGAGATTCCTGATATATTTTTAGAGAACTCTTTTATGCAGTTCTCCGTCTGTATTATGTGTTTTTCTTTGTCCTTAACAGGCCTCTTTTAAACACATGACACAGTTTTATATCTCACTGTGATGCTCAGCCGTTGTTCTGTGGGCTCTTTGGTTGTTTTAACTGCATACTTTTCTAATGCAGGATGAGGCTGTTTAGCAGAGACTCTTTGAATATAGCATGTGTTCAGGTCCTCAAAGTTTAGAGAAGTACATATAGCCTGCTCAAGTGACCTAGTGTATAATTAAGTACAATTTTGACGTACTTGTACCTGAATATTTCCATTTATGCTACTTTTCAGGGTATATATTGGACATTTTACTCCACTACATTTATTATACAGCTATAGATAGTTACGATGCAAACTGAAAAAACTGTCTTGTGTCATAACTTTAACTGAATAAAAAAAATTGATTGGAGGATTTTCCATTGTGGTGTTGTTTCAAGGAGCTGCTGCCAGGTTTTCTCCTTTTTGACAAAAAAAAAAAAAAAATTCATTACAAGGTACAATTTAGTCAGTTTTCTGAGGTTTCAATCACATCCAATGGCCTCCTCAGGGGTTGCTCAGCTGACCTGGACTAATAGTCTTAACTGATGACCAACTTGCTCCTTTTTGAGGACAACATAACATTAACCTTAAATGGTAGTAAGTAATTTGATTCTTGTGCTTAACACCGAGGTTATCACTTACATATATCTTCACTGATTTTAAAAAAAGTTTGGCAGACATTGCTGTTGAGGGACCGAAGGGCCAGCAGCTATGCAATGTCTCTAGTTTTGTGTTTGAGGAATTCACCGTCAGCAGAGCACACAGAAAACACTGTGCATGTTAGGACACGTAAACTGAAGGGTGAGCTCTCTCTGCTGTTCGGTTTATGGGTATGTGTTGAAATTGCCTGAAGGACACACACACAAACACATATGCAGAACTGTGCATGCTTACACAGACACGTCAACATAACACATAAAACTCACTTCATCGTCATCATCAGCATCATCGTCAGTTTTATTTGTGCTCAGCGTTTGGCCTATAACACAATTTCCAGCACCGAAACTGAATATCATATGGACCCAGAACCATTTTAAAAAAGGGAAAAGAAACAAAAGAACCATAAATATATAAAAGGGTTACATTTGTTTTAACAACCAAGAATAAGAGTGAAATTACAGAAAATGGATGGCATGTAGAAAATGACTTTTACAAAACAAATTTCATTTTTATTGTTTGATGTTCTTCTTGGCATTTTACAAGCTACTGAGCTCCTGCAGTGTTTGGTCCAGGACTTGGTGCATTCCTAGGTTTTCCTCTTTTGCGCTCGATAGGTTCTCTGCAATAAAAAGTAGCAGCAGATATAAAATGCAATGGCTATGTCGGTAAACAGATGCAATGGGTGAGCTAATATACGGGCCATTTTAGAGCAGACAGCGAAAGAAACACACATATGTAAACCTATAAACCATTAAATATAGTAACTACTGACTGTTACAGCTGCACAGTAGTGAAAATCGAAATGACAGAAGACAAGGTAAAAGAGAAATATATCTTTATTGAGCTTCAGTTTAATGCAAAAGGAGCAAGAAGCTGTGATAGCAAAGGGAGAAAAGAATAGACAAAGTGCCTCTTCAGGCAAGGAGAGATAAAGAGAAAGTGTAAACATCGTGAGCTACATGCAAGGTTTACAAGGTGTTCATATCATTGAGGGCATGATCCAGCTCCTCACTGATAGCCTTGTATTTCAGCTTCTGAGTGTACAGTTCGTCTGCAGGTCGAAGGGCAGACAGAGAGAGAGAGCAGGTGGAGGAAAGTTGTGCAGACCACGGGAGGAAATCAGGAGGAAAAAGAGAGAAATCAGATCAAAGATTAAGAATAAGAAAATTAGGAACGATAAAGATTTGAACAAAGTAAAGAAGGAACTGTAGGAATGATGAGAAGCATGGAAATAAAGCGTACCTTCTAAGTCATCGATGGTCTTTTCCAGCTTAGCCACTGTCCTTTCAGCGAATTCTGCACGAGTTTCCGCCTTTGAAAAGATAACAAACATATTAAATGTCCGGGCACAGCTTCCCTCAGGGAATACAGCTTGAACAGACATGAACTTACCTCCTTGAGTCTGTCATTCAGGACTTTAATCTCCTCCTCATATTTGTCCTCTTTCTCAGAGTACTATAGAGACAGACAAATAGAAGAATATTACATTTAATTGACAGTATCACCTTTATTTCTGATGAATTTCACCGTTTCATGCTCAATATCTATGTTGTACACTCTATTGATGTACATTTCACTTTAACATTTGTCTCTTTTTAAGACATTTAAATCAGAGTTTTACAGTTTTGGACAGAATAGGGACTTACACGCAGGTGAATCGAATGGTTAACACTTCAACACGATCAAATCTCCAGGATAGATTTACAACACCTACCTTATCAGACTGAGCCTCTAGCGACTTGAGGTTGTTGGTGACGTTCTTCAGCTCTTCTTCCAGGTCACCACACTTACTGCATGAAGACAGAAATACATTTAAGTATTCTGAATGTGTTTGCCCTGTTATCTGTGTAACACTTTAAAGATGCCTGCAATATAACTTCTTCAATGTGTTGGTGCTTACAGCTCTGCAATCTCTGCCCTCTCTTCTGCTCTCTCCAGCTCACCCTCAAGGATTACCAGTTTACGGGCGACCTGACATTAAAAAAAGACATAAAATCACAGTTGAGCGAAAACAGACATGAACATCAGATTCATGTGAAAGCTGAAAGTCAGCTGAAATGGGATCTCTGTGCCCGCACCTCCTCGTATTTGCGGTCCGCCTCCTCAGCGATGTGTTTGGCTTCTTTGAGTTGCATCTCCTGGATCTCCATCTTCTCCTCATCTTTCATGGCCCTGTTCTCAATCACCTTCATGCCTCTGTTGATCAGAAAGACAGACGGAGGTTAAATAAGCCGTTTACGACAGGTGACAGTTTGATTTCAATGATTCAGTTATTAATTATGACTTTTAGGACTGTTTGTGCACCTTTTGCTGGCATGGGTGGTACAAATGAGCTCATTGGTACATAAAAAGGTCTTGACAGAAAAAAAGACCCATCCTCATTACATAACCTTACAGTATTACTATTTACTAATTCAGGTTATTCTCTTCTGTTTGAGGTTACTGTTAAAAGTTAACTTTGAATTTGGAATTTCTTAAGGAAAATACATCCTGTGAGATCCTGTACTTATTTTGTATCTGCATTTAGCTTAAATCTAAGCTTGCTTTACTTGATCTTATTCATATCCTTACCTAATCTTTTTCCTGTGCACCTAACACCTACTTTCACCTAATAAACACATAATTTCCCTCCTTATTTTATTTTATCTTCTCTTATATTTCCAGAACTGGCAGCTCTCCCACCATGTCCACTTTATACAGATAAAATGTGTCTGGCCTATTTATCCTATGAGGGTCTACTTCACTGCTCCCAAAGAGACAAAACGTAGGCAATTGTGGCCAAAGTGGGACCCTCTGAATACAAAGATGAATGCAGCAGCTGTTAAAAGTAAACCATGTTACTTTTTTTACTGTTCTCACTGAAAATCCAGGGTGGTTAATAACATCTGCATGCCAACAGCAATGTCTCCAATTGGTGGAACCTGATTTTCGATCAAGGGTTGTGTTGTACGTGGACAAATCACATTATCCCAAAGCCATAAGACGATCATTTTCCAATCTTGAGGCTGATAGCGTGTCTTCAAATTGTGGTTAACACATTATGACTGAGGTCCCTGTTGATTCTTACCTTTCGCTCTCATCTGCAGCCTTCTCAGCCTCCTCCAGTTTCTGCAGGGCTGTGGCCAGTCTCTCCTGTGCACGGTCCAACTCCTCCTCCACCAGCTGGATCCTGCGGTTCAAGGATGCCACATCGCCCTCCGCCTACAGCAACACAGAGGAAGAGAGACAGAGAGAGAGAGGTCAGAGGTCAGAGGTCAGTCAGGAAACATGCTGCTCCCACAAGAGGAAGGATACTGATACGGAAAGTAGCTATATAATGTTAAATCAT